AAAAGAACATAGAGACGGCACAAGATATCATCTCCAAGAGTTTATTAACGGTGAGCCTCCTCGAAACAGTAAGGAAATGTATAATAGGTGGCATGCGTCATTACGTTCTGTTATTGAACGAACATTCGGCTTATGGAAGAAAAAATGAAAGGTCCTAAATGAATTTCCGAGGTATGACATTACTACACAAAGAAGTGTTTTATTCGCTACAATGGGTCTGCATAATTTTATTCGTCAGCATAATATTAAAGACTATGACTTTGACAATATTGATTCCGAGAATGATGTTGTACAAGTTCAACATGATATGACGGATGAGCAAGATAACAATGATAGTGTTAGAATCGAAGAATCATCAGAGGCAGAAATGTATATACGGATAGTTCGTGATCAGATTGCTGAACACATATGGTCAGTAAAAAGATATGGATCTCGGCGTCGTCGATAGAATTTAAATTATGTCTAAAAAAAAAATATTTGTTTAATTGAACAATGTAATCTTTAGAACTGGAACATCATTCACAATAATTCTATAATTTTAATTTAACTTTTACAGATCTAAAATAATAATATTTAAATTTTTATCAATTTTTCTCAATTCCTCTCATTAACCACCAATCAAATAAAAAAAAGTTCATCTTTCTTGTCTTCTCTATTCTTCTACTTACTAGGATATGACCCGCGGGTTAAATAAATTTTTGTTTGTGTTTTATTTTTAAATTTGATTATTTGTGTTATATATATTTGATTAAGAATTTTTTTGTTTATAATCTTATGATTGATTATATTTTGTTGGTAATAAAGCTAGATTTTACCTCGCTGTGTACCGCGGATTGATATTTTTGTAACTAAAAAGTTTAAATTTTAAGTTGTTGTCGTATTGTTAATTTTTTGTTTGTTTAGTGTTTATGATTGTATACTTGTATTTATTTGTTAATTCTAGGATTTCACCCATGGTATACCATCCCGTATTAATATCGACCCAAACCCATCCCACCATATAACTCCGTCCCGTGAAATTAAACATCATTTTGTTATTTTTCTTTTTAAAAATACTTTGTTTAAGAAACATATAATTGGAATCAATTTAAAATTTTCTTATAATATTATAAACATTATTAATATTATAAAGTTTTATAGAATTTAAATATTATAAATACTTTAAACGTTGATAAAGTTTAAATGAATAAATACTATCACAAAGTTCAAAATTAAGTAAGTTTAACTAAATTATCAAAATAACTTAAAAATGCGTCAAAACAAAAAATGTGGTCTAGGATTTAACCCGTGGTATACCGCGATAATTTTTATTCAATATTTAATTTTATAAAATTGTATATTAAAATTAGTGTTTTATGGTTTTCATATTATTAGAATTGTTAACTTTGGAATTTTTTTTTTTGATGTATATGTACATTGTTATTATGTTAAATGACACTTGTATATTTTTATGAAGAGAAATGTATACAATAGTGTAATGTAGTATCAAAACGCAGTTAAGGCTTTATAGAGAGGGATTGAAACAAAACCATTTATGTGTAACCTTTTTATTGCCACTCTTTCATCCAACATATCGGAGCAAGCACGTTTCTTGTTATCCACAAAATCTGCAGAAAAAAAAAAATGAATTTGGAAACTAACAATAAAATTTGAGTTCAGAATCTCACCATTTTTGGTTGTGTATTGCCATGATGCAGGATCTTAACTTGGACTCGTCATGCAATATTGTAAAGCCGTCTCTTAGATAGGTAAATGAAACAACCATGGAGATATTGAAAAGCTTTCATCCTCGATGTAAAAGGTAAAATGTTTCTTGATGGGATAGTTTGTTTTTTTGCATGTGTTGACATGTTATATATAGAGGTTGTAGATGTTTAGGGTTAGGTTTGATTTCAAAGCGAGAAAATCTTGGTGATCAAGTTCAAAATCTTGAAAATCTCGCAATTTATAATTAATGCTAACTATATTAGGCATATTCTCTAGATATGGTACAAAATATTATTGTAAACGAAAAAGTAGGTAATGAATATGTCATTTTGCAGTTCAAAGTCAAAATCTCTCTTACCATTTTTATAGGAATAAATTTGATTTTCATATAATGTTTCTTATTAGCATTACATGTTTAATTGTTAGAATCAGATCTTTAATGCATTAGGCTAAACGTTTCCTTTTGTTTTAGAAATTTACCAAAAGAGATATATATAACAATCGTCGAAATTACTGTATATTGTTAACATTTCATGTTTAGTTGTTAGAATCGTATAATTAATGATGTAATTATTGTCGTCTCTTTTTGTAGAAAAAATCTTACCAAAAGAAATTATACGTAATAATAGTCAAAATTTGTGGAAGATCTGAACCAAAGATTTGCTGGTTACAAAACAAATCATTTAATTTGTTAGGATTTGTTTTAGGAAAGTCTCATTTAATGTGGATCCGCTGTCAAAAAAAAGAAAAAAAAATAGTGGATCCGAAAGACATTTACGAGTCAAATTCCGGGTCAAAATCCGGGTCAAAATTACAAAAAATCCGACCCGATTGGAGAGAGCAAATTTGTACTTCAAAAATGTTAAGTAGATTACTTTTCTTTTCTTCTCAATTACTTTCTTCTCAATTCTTCTATTACCCACTAATCACACCCATAATATTATGTTAGGCTCTTTGTATTTAGGTACTAGATCATGACCCGTGCTATAAAGCACGGGATTAAATATTTTGTATGTATCAAATTGTATACTTTTTTGAAGAAATAAGTAATAATATAGTATAATAGTATAGTATAAAAGTGTATAAAAGTGATGCCATAGCAATAAAGCATTGTATATAAAATGTTTTTAGCTGCATTAGAATTGTATTTTTGTTCAGATTAACAATTTATTTGGTTCAATTAGGTATTCATAATTGCATTGTGTCATTTAGAAAAAAAAAATAGTTGTATTATGTTAAAGTTTTTACGTGGGCTATATTGGGTTTTGTTTTCTCAGTGCCAAATGTATTTGGTCTAGTATCATAGAATATGACCCGCGGGATAAATAAATTTTTTTTTATATATAATTTGATTATTTGTGTTGTATATATTTGATAAGAATTTTTTTTTGTTTATAATCTTATGATTGATTGTATTTGATTTGTAATAAAGTTGGATTTTACTCCATGGTACACTACATGTCGATATTTGTGTAACTAAAAAGTTTAAATTTTAAGTTATAATTTTTTGTTAATATTTTTTTTTTTATAGTGTGTTTAAGATTGTATAATTGTATTTGATTGTTAGTTCTACGATTTTACCCGTGGTATACCGTTCCATATTAATATCGACCAAACACGTCCTAACATATAACTCCTGTGAAACTAAACATCATTTTGTTATTTTACTTTTTAATAATATTTTATTTGAAAAACATATATAGAGAGACTACATAACATGCAAAAATATTTGACATAAAATCCTTACTATTTCATTGTCTCTTCAACGTCGTTGGTTGCCAATATATAATACCTAAAATAATAATTAACCAAGTAATATTAAATGTATGCAGATAATCATATCAAAAATTAAGGAAACGTTTATTATAATATTAACCAATGAAATTATGTGGATAGGAATTAGAAATATTTGAAACATACAAAACCTTCTCGAGTGTTTCACTTTGATTTTTTTTTTTTAATTCCAGATTCCCAATACACATGCTCATTGAATCAGACTTTGGATGAGACTCTTTGGACGTAGATCTGAAACAAATCATGAAGTCAAGAAATGTGAGAAGAAACAAAATAAAAGGTATTCAAATTCAGCTAAAAAAAAAATAAAAAATTCAGCTAAATTAATAGATTAGAAAAATCGCCTTGTCAATAGAAGCAAACTCATACAATAGAAAAAAAAATCATTCAATAGTCTCTCTAACGTACATGTAGGTGAATAATTCATCGTTTTGAGAAACGTAATAAAAAAACTTTAAAATTGCTCTGAAAGTTTGAGTGATACGTGAGTGCTTCAGTGGATTATTATATTTATAGGCGTAAGAGAATCGGTAGAAATTTTAGATTTGATAAAATGAAATCTAAAATAATATATTTTCAAATTAAAGTTTTAAATTAACATTTGTGGAATATGCTAAAATTTAAAAGATGAGAATATATAATAAGATATAATTTGGATAGTATCTATATTGCTTTGGTACTATATGCGTAAACTAAGCATTTTATTTATGTTAAGATTAGAAAAAATAATTAGTTTTCAGAAAATATTTATTGTTTCCTAAATCCATGTTATCGTGTGATAATCATATCAATAATTAAGGAAACGTTTATTATAATATTAACCAATAAAATTACATGGATAGGAATTTACGTCAAAATAAAGATTTAATAGTTAATGATACTATATTTTAGGAACTAAATATATTTTGTTAACTTGTTTGATTGTTGTTTGTTAAATTATATGGAATTTGAATTTGAATATTTAAGTTACTCGAAATTATCCAAAGCCGTTATAGAAACTACTTAGATTTAGTATTAATATGAATTTCAATTTTGATAACTTAATATGTGTGAGAATAATTTTCGCCAATGTATAAATACATTTTTTAGTAACATTTTCGAAACATGTTGAATAATGGATTACTATATAATATTTTCAATAACATTTCGAATTATATGAATTGTGTTGTTTTTTCGAAATGTTTTTCGAATTATATGAATTATATAAACAAAATCTTTTGATATCTTTAAACCCGTTTGACCCGTTGACCCGTTAATATATATTAGTGAAATGGAATAAAATGATTATAATTAGAGATCTCTAATGGCATTTATTGTAATTTCTTACAAAATCTAAGTTATGATTCTTAATTAGTATATGATTTTTTAGGATGTACTTCCCAAATATTAGTATAGGATTTTTTAATTCAAGAAAACCTTTAAAAAAAAAAACCATTTTTCATAACTGTAATGTAATGTGTTTTTGATAGTTATAGATACGGCCCACGTGGATATAGCCCAAAAAGGAATAAAGACGAAAGAGATAAACCCAAACTTGCTTTCTTCTCTAAAAATATCCAAAGCATCAAATCCTTAACCTCTCTGCAAATTCACTCCCGAAGAAGAAACTAAAAAAAAACTCCTCCTTGTTCTGGGCATTGCTTGTCTAATGCCAATTCCTGTATTGGGTTCTCTTCATGGTTGATTCTTCTCTTATTCCATCGCTATGGGAGCTCAGAAGAGTATCCACGCTGGTAGAGGTCATCACTCTATCCTCTAAACCCATCTCTTTACTCTCTCGCTTTTTCGATGTTGTGTTGTTGGATCAGTATTGATGTGATAATGTGCTGAAAAATGGTACAATTCTGGAATTTGATTGTGGATTTAACCTCAACCAATGGAGGGCTTTGATTTGTTTCCATGTTTCTTCTATTATCTACATTCATTTCCAATGTTTTGATATGATTCATTTCATATGCATAGTTATGATTATGTTTATGTTTATGTTTGTGAAGGATACATTGATGAATTAGAATGTTGTAGGCATGAGGATGCATTGGTTTCTTTGTAAAGGAAACATTTTTCTAAGACTTTTGATTGTAGTAAGTATACGATTATGATCGGATTGGTTTGATATGTGGCTTTCATTGATGTTCTTTTTCAAGCGAAAGTATCGATTTTTATCTAGAAATAAGAATGTTGTAGGATACATTAACGTTTTCTGAACCTTTTTGTTACTAAATCATCATGTGGGATATGACTTGCTGTTGAATTTAGTGAAAGATTAAGATCGGATTGGGTTGCAATGTGGTTTTCATTAATGGTTTTTGAGCAGTGGCATCGATTTTGATACTTTTTTTGTTGATTGCAGCCAAGATTGATGTTAATGTGGATTTCACTCACAAGCTTTGTACTTCTTTAATGTTTCCTGCTTTCAGGTTTGCTCTCATCATCCATTCTTCAACTTTACTCACATTTTTAACCAATACTCATGAAATTCTCGAACATTGAGTTTGTTGCTGTTTGCACAGGGATACTAGCAGTCCTCTTTCTTTAGTGATTGGCAGGTATGTTTTGTGACTTAATGCTACAGCTTACAGTTTTAATAAATATTGTTGGTGTTTATATAATCTGCAGAACTGAAATGGTCGTATTTTTCTTTTCGATTAAAGTGTTCATTTGGGTCTGTTTGTTGCAGCCTCTGTATCAAACATCCAAATTTGTTTGGAGGAAGCGAGAAGCTTGATGTTTCATGGGATAAAGGGTTGTATGATTCCAATGTACTGGTGGCTTTTAGGAGGCCTAGACCTGAATGGCGTCCGCAACAATGCTTCTTCATACAGGTACTCAACTGATCTGTGAAGCTATCTTAGAAAGTGAATTTTCCAAATTATGCTATGTTAAATACATTCAAATTTTTTTAATCTGGTACAGCATTCTCTTTCGCCCGAGATAGGGGTCCATGGCACCCCAGTTGACAACTTTTCTCGGTCAGGGAGTGGAGGTGTAAATCTTTCTAAATTGGCTGTTGGTTTAGACTTGAGTGAGCCAGCGAGTTCAAAATGGAGCAGCACAACCAGCGTAAAGTTTGAGGTACCCACACATTACCTTCTTCAGACATTGTAGAACAATATTTTCTCTTTGCTGTTTTTTGCTTTCGGGTAAAAGAGTATTATGTTCCATTGGTGCAGCATGTGCGTCCGATTAACGATGACGGACGCGCGATAACCAGAGATCTGGACGGATTTCCTATAACATGCAGGTGATATTGGATCTCGCTTCCCTTAATTTGTTTCCTTAAGCTCTAGCATAAAACTGATATTTACATGTGTAGAATTCTCTGCTATGCAGTGGAAATACCCATGACAGTATGGTAGTTTTAAAGCAAGAATCCCGGTTTGCAAAGGCTACTGACCAAGGTCTTTCTCACGTAAGAGACTCATTTCTGTTTCTAGCCTAGGCAAACCACACGGCCATTTTTGCACTTACTTTGTCAACGTTTCTTTTCTTTCATACTGGTTTCTTGCTTTTTCAGTTTAGCATGCAAATAGAACAAGGTATTCCGGTTGTGTCCAAGTGGCTTATCTTCAACCGTTTCAAATTTGTTGCATCAAAAGGTGTCAGGTTTGGACCGGCTTTTCTCTTAGCAAGGTACTGACAGAATCTTACATACTTTATGTAAACAACTACACGTAGAAAATGCTTTGTAAAGATATCCTAGTTTTGCGGTGGTTCTTACCTCTTCCGTGACAGCTTGACAGGTGGTTCAATTGTAGGAGATATGGCACCTTATCAAGCATTTGCCATTGGTGGGCTAGGCAGTGTTCGGGGATATGGTGAGGGTGCTGTTGGATCCGGGCGGTCATGCCTTGTTGCTAATACAGAATTGGCTGTACCTTTGGTACGTGGAGCTGTTGCATAATTTGGTCTTCAGAACCATCAAATGGTTTCCACTGTTAAGATCTCATTGAGCTTTGGTTCCTTTTTGTGTACAGAACAAGATGACAGAAGGGACCATCTTCTTGGATTGTGGAACAGACCTAGGCTCAAGCCGCCTTGTCCCTGGTAAACTCACTTTTCCTGCTCCAATCCAAGAAGAAGTTGTTTGGACACAAATTTGATTAAGCTGTTGTGGAATTGGTTTCAGGAAACCCTTCGCTGAGACAAGGGAAGCCAGGGTTCGGGTACGGATTCGGGTATGGGCTACGGTTCAAGTCTCCATTGGGTCACCTTCAGGTTGACTATGCCATGAATGCTTTCAACCAGAAGACTCTTTACTTCGGTGTCACCAATCTTGCTTCATCAACATAGTCAAATAGAATAAAGCAATCAAGAAAAGCACATATTCAATGTCTTGATTCATGGATATATTTGTGTTTGCGTTGGAACCAGAAACGCCACACAAGATGAGGCAAACACAGTCCAAGGAGTTGCTAACAGCAATCGACAGAGATCTTGAGAAGATAAATGAAGTGTTGTCAATAGAAATCAGTCATGTAATATTACACGACGACTATAAGTTTTCATTGTTTTGGTATATACAGCTGCCAGAAAGCTGCAGGTTTCATAGAGAAGAGAACACACATTTGATTTGATGGTGCTGCGAATACGTATCTATTGCTTTTATATATATACGTATCTATGGCTCAACTCTTGACTAACTCTGAATACAAGTGGTTGAACCAAACCATAACTATTTCTGCAATTTCGTGTTACATTTCATAAACCATTAGAGAGTCTCACCAAAGAGATTAACTTACGTGATACAAACAAACAAACAAATACAACTCCTCAAGAAGCTCAGAAGAAATTATTGAACTGATTGGTTAAAGAGCTCTTGAGGTTTGAATACAAACCATAAAGCGAATACTGCTTAAGATTCTCGACTTCATACCACGAGTTGAGAACCGCCAAGTGCTTATCAGTGCCGGAAAACGCCAACTGTATCCCGAGACTGCAATCCACTGAACCTCCCCGGCCTTTACAGCTCGGTGTTCTTATCGCACAATCTTGCTTGTTAAGACACACAAAATTCTGATTCCCTTTGCACGACGCACACCCGTCTCTCTTCCAATACAGATTCTGAAGCCTACCTTTCTGAAACTCCATCACCTTAAAAAAACATAACAACACCATAAATAAGATCTATTGATGAATCTATACAACCACATTTGAAGGCATAATGATATACAAAAAGGCTTTACCAAAGTAAAACTGGTTACAATAAACGTGCTATTAGCAATAAAAGCCGGAATCGACCTCGCAGCGTATTTCCGACCCGCGAATGCCACCATATATCCACCATAGTTGTCCTGAAGACATTATACATCCACAAATTAAGGGTCCATGAATGTCAAAACATACACTTCACCAAATCTAAATTCACTACCAATTCAAGTAAGACTTATTATACCATTTTTGCATAATAATTTCACATAAAACCAAATCTGGTACTTTTACTATAATTAGTGGTAATCGAGTGAGGTCAAAGAAACCAAAGTCAACCAAATCTATACTCTGAACAGAGATTAATAAAATGTGATTTAACTAAACTAATTCGATTTTATTAAATAAACAAAAAATAGACGAATTTAATTACCGGGAAGAAGGCGGAGGTGTTGATGGAGAGGAGAGAGATCTCGTCGATTTTAGGACGGAAGAGAGAGAACTGTGAATTCATGGCGGCGAGGGAAAGTCGACGGTCACAGGGAGAGAGAAGAACCGTTTGGTTTAAGAAGAAAGAAGGACGCGAAGAGAATGCGATTCCGAATGTGAATCCATCGGATCTCTGGATTCTGGTGTCGGAGCATGGTGAATAGATATTGTTGGTGTTACCTCCTCCGCCGTCTCCGCCTAAGGCTACGGTTAGAATCACGGCGGAGAAGACGAGGAGTGTTAGGGTTTTGGAAGGGAACATTTTTTTTGAAATTATTGTGGAAATGGTTTGGGGAAGGCTGAGAGAGTGTGAAGTGTGAAGTGAGTTTGTGGTTTCACGTTTGGCTCATCAGACTTTTTTTCGAATGGGAAAATTCCAAAAAATTTTTTTTTTTTACCTTTTTCTTTTTAAGGATAAAATATATATTATCTTTTCGTTAGAGGTTATATATACTTGAGTGTCTGATCTATCAACTATGGAGCAGAGGAATTATCTTGGAAACTACCAAGAACCATCTAGGAAACTAGGAGGAAAAAAATGTGGACTTTGTTTGGACCCGTGATGTTGAGAAGAAAATGTGAACAGAAGTAAATCATTTGAATCTCTCATTCACTTGTCTACATAAACCCCAAATCAAAACCCACCACAATAATCACAATTTCACAAGCTTCCTTCTTCTTCATCTCGACAACAAAAATCCAAATACATGAAACAAACAACAACGAATTGAGAGAGTGGTAATATGGTTCTATTACAAATTGGGAAGCCATTCACACCATTATTTGCATAGACACAATAATTAAAGACTAAATACTTAATCTTCAATTATGGCTTAACACTTGACTAGGCTCTTTATCGTCTTCATCGCTTCAATGTTGACTTCTGTTCTGTTTCCAATTAACAGAGACAAACCTAACAGTGTGTCCTTAGAATTCTCTCCTTCCTTCATCATTTCAACGATCTTCTTCATCCCCTCAACGGACTTTTCCCCTGCCTGGCCAGCCATTCCAAACGCGGGATTTGATGCGGCTACGACCACTACTGCGACAACAGGGAGAAACACAGCCGCGAGAAAACCAACCGCCACTTTCCTCTTTGTCTTTGCATGCTTATGCTTCTTCTCGAGCACTACTTCTAGTTCACGGATCTTTTCTAAAAGCATGACATGATCCTTGTAGACAGACTGGTACTGTGTCGCGAAATCATCCGTGTACAAGAACTTGTTGAATAAATTCAAAGTCTTGGTGGTATTCTCGAAATAGAGATTAGCTATAGACTTTAGTTCTTCGTTCTTCGATACATGTTGGCCGTTTTCAGTAATGGTATCGGCCATACCTTGGCTTAGGTCAGCCAGATTCTTGCAGATCTCTTGAACCGACGACATTGATATTATATTGGAGCTAATCTAGAAAGGAAAACCAAACAAAAAAAAAATCAAGAAAATTTTAAGGCAAGATAGTTTTTGCATACATCAAGTTTAAAGTTAGCATCATAAAAATTAGCAATCAAGCTTAAGGGTGCATTTGTTTGAGATTTATTTAATACCGCGCGAATATAACATAGTAATAATACTTAAAAGCAAGGTCCATGAGATGATCAAGATGAGATTGGGTTGAAGGAATAGAAAAAATTACCTCAACTTTGGATAAGAATCTTGCTCAAGACTAGAGAATGTTGTGTCACTGAAGTATTAGCTAGTGGATAGTCACAGTTATATAGCAACAAAATGAAAAGTCAGTCTTTAGTTATTGGTAATATTATTGGTAAATATAATTATATTTCATCGAGTTTTGTATGTACAAATGGGAGAGTGGTACTATGGTCCTACTAAGAAGCCATTCACCATTATTTGCATAAACACAATAACTAAATATTACAAATAATGAAAGACTTAATCTTCAATCGTGGCTTATCACTTTACCATCTTTATAACAATGATTTTGACTAATGTACTTTTTTCAATCAATTGAGACAAATCTTTTTGCTTCTCGTAAGACTTCTCATAGACCTTCAACGCGTCAGGGAGCTGCTTCACCCTCTCAACGAATTCGATATGGCTAGGATCGATACGACGACATAAGGGACCAATGCAGTCACGAAAGCACCCATCCTCACTCTCCTCCATATCTTTGCATTCTTACGCTTATCCTCAAGCTCTACTTGCAGCTCACGGGTCTTGAACCTGCTTATTGTAGAGAGACTCCTACCGAGTCGCGAACTCATTCACGTACATTCCTTCTGAAATAAATCCAAGGTCTCGTTGGTATACTTATAATAGAGATTAACCTTAGACCTTAGTTCTTCGTTCTCTGACACAACTTTTCTGTTCGCATTAATGGTACTGGCCACAATTTGGTTTGGTCAACCAGAAACTTGCAGAACTCTGACATTGATATTATATTGGAGCCAATCTGGAAAGGAAAACCAAACAACAATATAAAATCAAGAAAATTTAAAGGCAAGATAGTCTTGCATACATGAACGTTTAAAGTTAGCATCATAAAAATTAGCAGCCTGCGTAAGGCCGCCTATCGCACGAATATAACATAGTAATAATACTTAAAAGCAAGGTCCAGGAGGTACCTGAACATGTACGAAGATGAGGTACTGTGGATGTTACAATTACAAACTTGATATATATATCTTATATAATATGACAAGGTTTTCTTCTAACTTTTCCTACCATTGCGACATTTGGCACTCTCTTTTGGTGACATGTGTCCTCCTTCATTTGTTTGTTTTAATTTATTTAAAATCCTTAGTTTTGAAAGTTTGTGCCTACAATTTAATTCCAAAAAAGATATTTCTCTTATCCTATTGATACATTTGACATGTATTTAAATTGAAATTTGTATCTAATTTGTTTTGCCAAAATTATTATCTACTTAAAATCACCGCTTATTAATCTGATTCAAAATTATGGATCAGTAAAATTTTAACTTCACAAAATACTAGTACATTTTTTAAACTTCTCATAATATTAGTACATTTGGCATCTATTTTTAAATTTAATTGTTTTCCTCATTTTTCTATCTTACATAATATTTTAATATCTCCATAAAATACATTTCTAATCTTTTCTAATTTGTCTCTTTTTTTTTCTTCTTTCCAATCTAACTTTTTTAAAAAAAAATTCTCTTTTTTTTACAGGAATTATTAAATTTAATATGTCATCCCATATATTGTTTTATAAATGTCTCAGTGAATGAAATTCTAACTTATATAACAGTCAATGTAATTTTAATAAAGAAATATAGTAGCGTGCATTATATTAATTTATTGCTCCATGTGTTACGCCTTCTCTCAAAATAAATGTTTGCGACGAGTTTTCTTCTCCAGTAACGCTTCTCATGTGGCTTCTAATACCGAAATATATTACCCAAAGTAAAACCCACAAATGAACTTATTAAAACATATGTAACGTCAAATAACTCTAAATTGATGCATTAGTGATTAGGCTAATAGATAACCACAATAACTCTAATTAATTCAAAACATTAAATCCAATTAATTCACAAACATGTACGCTAAGTCTACTTCTATATATTACCCACATGTGAAGCTAAAAAAACCATTGTAGAATTTTTGCTTTTTCCAGTCCGTTCTTTTATTTTTTTTCACTTTTAGTTGCTTTTTCTTTATTTCAGGCTATCGTCTATATAGTAAAAATATCTACAAAAGTTTTCTCATTTGGTGTTCAAGTTAGGTTTGTGATTTCATATGGTGTTCAAGTTAGGTTCACCAACACCGTTAGTTCTACATAAAAGTGTTCTATTTTTTTTGAAGTTCTATTTTTAATTGTTTCTCTATTTTTCAACTCACCAATAAGATTTATATATACATTGAGAAAATTTATATCTATTATTATGGTCAGTTAAAGTGTAATTATAAATTTAAGTATTTAGATAAATAACATTACATTATATTTATTAAATTTTTTTACTCTTATGATCTATATGTATTCATAAATTTGAAAACCATAAGTTTGTTAAAAAATTTATGATATAAATTGAAAAACCATTTATGTAATTATTCTCAACATCACTTATCAAAAAGTTAAGAGTCTGTTTTCAAATTTATGAATATGTAAAGCTGTTTCAAGATGATTTTGTTCTTGAATACGTAAAACTCATGGGATCATGAGTCAAAAAAAAAATCAGATTGTTTATGTCATTCTTTATTTCTTTTACATAATTACTCAACATTTGAGAGGGATCGACGTTTGAGTTTCATATATCTCGAGTAAATAGTTTTTTTTTTTTTTTAATATTGTATAACATTTGACTTGATTATGTTTTGAATTCAATTTTTTTTAGTTTATGATACAAATTAAGTAAGAAATAAAGATCATATGAAAGAATATAAAATTTGTATTTATTTTTATCAAAGTTTCCATAAAACCAACCCAATGAAATTCAACCAAAAAATTTAAAAAGTTCCACCAAAAGTTTTTTTTTTAATCTATCCTCATGGGATTTTTGAAAAGATATATGTTTGCTAAGGGCATTTGCATAGAATATCATAATTGACTAATTCAGTTAAAACCTAACATGCCATTAAAGTATTTAGATAAACGGCATTACATTATATTTATTAAATTTTTGTACTCTTATGACCTATATATATATATATATATATATATACAAATTTGATAAAATGGCATATTTATTTTGTTCTCAAACAATTGAATATATATATATATATATATATATATATATATATATATATATTAAAACTGAACTAAATTTTTCAAATATAAACTTTCAAAAATAAAATTTTTATTATATCATCTGAAGTCATTTTCTTAAATTAAATATGATTATAATTAAGTGTAACATATATATTTGTTTTTTGCGCAAAGGCTGATTCAATTTAACTTAAGTTTGGGCCAGACCCATTACAAGAGAAACCAGAGACTGTTTTGCCAATGAATCGGCATCTGAGTTCTGCAAACGGGGAATGAAACTAAACGAAATAACATCAAAGGTAGAAGATAAATTCAGGATATCGAAGAGAATCCCATGAAGCTCCTTGTGTTGAAGCTCCGATTTTAAAGCTTTGACTAGCTGTGCTGAGTCGGAAGCGCGAGAGAGATGTGAAAAACCCAGATTAACGTATATAAAATATGTTTTTGCTCATTTGGACCATCTTGCTATTTTATTAAATTTAATCATTATCAAAAATTATTTAAATTTATCTTAAATTTTTAACATATATAGATAAATTTAGCAAAAAATAATAAATATGAATATGTTTTACCTTTGATCTCCTAATTTTATTATGGATTATA